AACAAGGCGTTATTGGCAGATTATGTTAAGCACAGACATATTATATCTATGGTGTTAACTGGCTCGACATTAGTGGCGTCTCCATAACTTCTCTTTCCGCCTCTCTTAACACAGAACTTCCGGTTACATTTCAAAATAAGAGCAACATAACTGGGTAGTGGGGAGAGCTAAATGTTAGTTTATTAATACCTAGCCATTACATTAAAAAACAAAATCCATTTTGGTTGTTGAATAATGTGAAAATAGTTACAATCGATTCATAAATAAAGAAAAATAAATAATAATGATACTTAAACTGACTTTGGGACAAAGGATGTTTCCTTTAACTTCACATTTTCTTGTTCAACCTGCAGTCACTGCAGATGAGTGATTGTCAGGTTCTGTCAGATTTCTGCAGCTGGAGCAGGTATTCTGTTTACTGCTTCACTTCCTCAGCTGTCTCACATTTTAAGGGTCAATCCTACTCCATGTTTCAGCTCCTTTCATAGATCATATCTCATAGAAGAGCACTTCTAAAAAGAAAATTTTGTTTTTAGCTTTTGTTTTGGGCCATTAACTCATTACAGGACTAATGATCTTTATTTGAGACCAGACTTTTTGGACAAATGAGAGCAGGTTTCGCTTCAGAAGCTTCATATTTCATTGTACCCAGACCACACTCAAACCAACCTGTGTCAGGTGCAGCTACAACCAAGAACTAAAGAGAATCTTCTTGTGTTTGACAGCAGATATAACGCTGTTTCTTACAAACGTTCAGTTTTAAAAAAGAGCTCACGTAACTTAACTAAAGAGCCAACAAACACAGTTAACCAATCAGTGTTTGCCCTCTAGAGATGCCTATTCTCCAGAAACGCCCACTTTTGGTCTGCAGAGAACACCTTCTCGAAACACAGAAAGTGAATGCGCCTGTTTTCCTGAAGTGCTTCAATACTGGTTCATTGCTTCAGTACTGGTTCATTGCTTCAGTACTGGTTCATTGCTTCAGGACTGGTTCATTGCTTCAGGACTGGTTCA